GGCCCCGCTATTCCTGGCTACGGTGGCGACCATGGTAACGGCGGGGCAGGGGGTGCTAAGAATCTCCGGTGGAGGTTCGGTTGCCACCTACGACGACTCGACCTGGCAACATATAACGCACGCACCCTGAGGACTGACGAGAAGATACTGGAGCTGGAAGAAGAGGTAGACAAGTTGCGCTGGCATATTATTGGATTATCCGAGGTCCGAAGAGAGGGGGAGGACACGGCAATCCTCGAGTCCGGCAACTTGTTCTATCACCGGGAGGGCGACCATCTGTCCCAAGGAGGTGTCGGATTTATCGTCCACAAATCTCTCGTCAACAACGTTGTAAAGATTGGGAGTGTGTCGACGAGGGTCGCGTACCTGATACTCAGAATCACCAAACGGTATTCGCTGAAGGTCATTCAGGTTTACGCACCAACCTCGGCACATCCCGATGAGGAGGTGGAGGAAATGTATGAGGAGATTTCCAGAGCCATACATTCCTCCAAAACCTACTACACGGTGTTGATGGGAGACTTCAACGCGAAACTGGGCACAAGAGAAAGCGGTGAGCTGAAGGTAGGGAAATTTGGAGTAGGGCAACGGAACCGAAGGGGCCAGCAGCTGGCCGACTTTATGGAGAAAGAGGGACTCTTTATGATGAACTCTTTCTTCCAGAAGCGGCCCCACAGGAAGTGGACCTGGTCGAGCCCCGACGGTTCGACAAAAAATGAGATTGACTTCATTATGACGACCAGACGCCAACTGTTCAGTGATGTCTCAGTGATCGCAAGGGTGAAAACTGGCAGCGATCACCGAATGGTTAGAGGCACACTGAACCTAAACGTTAAGTTGGAGAGGTCTCGTCTATTGAAGTCAACGCTCCGTCCCCCTCGTGCTCTAATCCAGAATCCCGAAACCTTTCAGCTCGAGTTACGTAACCGCTTCCAGTGCCTAGAAGATTGCAATGCAGTGGACGATATGAACGACAAGCTCGTGGAAACTGTCCATGCGGTCGGAGCTAAGTTCTGCAAGACCCGCCGCAGAAGAACACAAAAACTCTCCGATCACACTCTTAATCTCATGGCTGTTAGACAGGAGATGAGGCTGCAATCGTCAACAGATTTGACAGCATACAGGCAACTGAACAGACAGATCTCCAAATGCATACGGCGAGACTTACGCAACTTTAATACTTCTCGTATTAAAGAAGCGATCGAGCGGAACCAGGGCTCCAAAGTCTTTGCCAGAGATCTGTCTGCCAGAAAGAGCCAACTGTCAAGGCTGAAGACTGAGTGTGGCAACATCGTTTCCGGGACACCTGAGATTTTGAGTGAGATTGAGAGGTTCTATGGGCAGCTGTACACATCATCGTTGGAGCCACACGCAAGTGTGAGTAACGATCCAAGAGCAAGTCTTATCCGACACTATTCCGATGATATCCCGGACGTCAGTCTAAGCGAGATTAGAATGGCTCTCCAGCACCTTAAAAACGGCAGGGCCCCAGGCGAGGATGGAATTACAGCGGAGCTTCTGAAAGCGGGTGGAACACCGGTACTTGAAGTCCTTCAGAAGCTCTTCAATTCCGTCCTCCATGGTGGCACTACTCCAGAGGCGTGGAGCAGAAGTGCGGTGGTCTTGTTCTTTAAGAAAGGCGACAACGCTCTCTTAAAGAACTACAGACCGATTTCCCTTCTGAGCCGCGTCTACGTGCTGTTTTCGAGAGTCATTACGAATCGTCTCGCATGCAGACTTGACGACTTCCAGCCTCCCGAACAAGCCGGTTTTCGAAAAGGCTTCAGTACCATAGACCACATACATACCCTGCGGCAGATTGTACAGAAGACTGAAGAGTATAATCTGCCACTTTGCCTGGCGTATGTGGACTATGAGAAAGCCTTTGATTCCGTCGAAATTTGGGCGGTGCTACAGTCCCTTCAGCGGTGCCAAGTTGACTGTCGGTATATCGAAGTGCTGAAGTGTTTGTACAGTAGGGCTACGATGGCTATCCGAGTACAGAACCAGAGCTCGAAACCTATCCAACTGCAGAGAGGTGTAAGACAGGGTGACGTTATATCCCCGAAACTCTTCACCGCTGCATTGGAAGACGTTTTCAAGCTACTGGACTGGAAAGGATACGGTATTGACATCAATGGCGAGTACATCACTCACCTTCGATTTGCCGACGATATAGTCCTTATGGCAGAATCGCTGGAGGACTTAAGCACTATGCTCAATGACCTCAATAGTGCCTCCCAACGGATAGGTCTTAAGATGAACATGGACAAAACAAAGATCATGTTCAATGTCCATGTCAGACCTATGCCGGTAGTTGTTGGGAGCACTATGCTCGAAGTTGTTGACGAATACGTTTTCCTGGGACAAATAGTCCGACTAGGTAAGTCCAACTTCGACCGAGAGGTCAATCGACGGATTCAACTCGGCTGGGCAGCGTTCGGGAAATTACGGCATATCTTTTCGTCAGGTATACCTCAATCTCTAAAAACTAGATTGTACAACCAGTGCGTGTTGCCAGTGATGACTTACGGATCTGAGACATGGTCCTTCACTGCTGGCCGTATGAGGACGCTTAAGGTCGCTCAGCGAGCTATGGAGAGGGCTATGCTCGGAGTTTCTCTGCGTGATAGACTCAGAAATGAGGATATCCGCAGTAAAACCAGAGTGACCGACATAGCCCAACGGATTAGTAAGCTGAAGTGGCAATGGGCCGGCCATATAGCTCGAAGAACCGATAACCGATGGGGAAGAAAGGTTCTCGAGTGGCAGCCTCGTACCGGTAGGCGTAGTGTAGGGCGACCCCCACTAGATGGAGTGACGACCTGGGAAGGCATGCAGGAAGTCGATGGATGCAGGTGGCTCAGGACCGTGCTTTGTGGCATTACTTGGGGGAGGCCTATGTTCAGCAGTGGACTTGTGAGGGGCTGTAATGATGATGATGATAACACTAGCTGGTCCGGTAGACTTTGTTGACGCCTTTCGGTAGGAAGTACTTTTAACAGCGTAAATATAAAGTTTATTAATAACTGAACTACAACAACTCGGAAGCAGATCTATAGTTCGGGATGTGGTTAATAATAATATTAATAAGACTGCCTCGTTGGTCTAGTGGTTGTATTAGTGCAACTGCTGATCATGAGGTCCTGGGTTCGAATCCCGGGTCAGGCCAAAAAATCAATTATTAAGTTCTTACTCAAGAAATTCTCAGTAGCTGTTCCGAGTCAGGAAGTTGGCAGTATCTCACCCCCAGCCTCGGAAAGCACGTAAAGCCGTTGGTCCTGCGCCTGATCTCTCTCCGATCGTGTCGCTTTACCATCCCATCGGATTATGGGAGTGAGGGAATAGAGAGTGCGCATATACTTGGGCACTATAATCCTGTCCTGCGCCGATGGCTAACCTCCGTTGAGGTTGGCCGCCGTGATCGAAATTCGGTCTGGGGGACATTATTATTATTCCTGGGGTATCTATATAATTTTCTCACCTGGTTGGGTTCTATAAATATATAATTATAAATTAAAATGAAAAGATAAATATACATAAATATCAATAAAATAAAATAAATACAAAAACTACATAAATAAATAAGATCCAACCAGATGGGAGCCCTCGGCAGGGGAGACCAAACGGCCGAGGGTTAGGGGGAAAGGGAAAGAAACCGGCGGACGATGCGGGCGGTATCGAGGAGCACCGCCTTCTGCATTTGAGCCCGGAGCGGTCCGTCACGGAGTCCCAGTCGCCTCAGATGACCCGAGAGGCTGACTGGGATTAGCCCATTCGCAGAGACGACTACAGGAATAATTTCGGTCGGCATACCACCCCACATGTCGGTCACCTCGTGAGCCAGGTCCAGATATTTTCTTCGTTTCTTTGTTTCCGCTTTCAAGAGGTTCTCGTCATATGGAATGGTAATGTCGATCAAAAATATCCATGACTGTGCCCGGTCCATCAGCACAATATCAGGCTTATTCGTAAGAATAGTCCTGTCTGTGATGATGGCCCGGTCCCAGTAGAGCCTGCGGTCATCAGCTCCTTCCGGCAATTACTTCGGTACCACGAGACCGCATTTCAGAGCGAGCTCCTGGTGTAGAATTCTGGCTACTAGGTTGTGCCTGTGCAAGTACTCAGAGTTAGAAAGCGCCGAACAACCGGAGATGACATGCCTAAGTGACACTCCCCGGGATGGCAACAAGCTCGACAGACGTCGACAGTGCCATCCTTTAGGATGTATCTCCGATAGTTGTTGGTCAATCAATGGTAAATGGTAAAATCAAGGTACAGTCGATCTTGTACAGCTCGAGGACCCTCTTTAGCCATGTATGGGGCACCGAGTCAAATGCCTTTCTGTAATCTATCCAGGCGGCGGAGAAGTTCCGACAGTTGCATTTCACCACTTTGCCAATGACCGCGTCAATGAGGAGTGGTTCCTTGGTTCCACGACCGCCGCCCCGACATCCATTTTGAGCGCGCGACATCACCTGATTTGAGTCCAGGTGACGAGCGATTCTCGCGCTCAAAATGGATGTTAGTGTCTTGTATATGGTCGGTAGACACGTGATGGGGCGGTATTTGCTCGGGTCTGTGTCACCCTGCTCTTTAGGAACCAAATAAGTGATCCCAGTAGTGAAGAGGCTCGGGAGCGACTTCTGGTTGAGAGCCTCTTGAAACCGTCGGGCGAGCACAGCGTGACACACCATGAACCCCTTCAGCCAGTAGTGATGCAGCCCGTCAAGCCCCGGACTTTTCCAGTTCGGGGCCCTACGAACCGCCTCAGCTACGTCATCCGGCGTTATGATGACGGGGTCCATGGGCGTAATACCCGCACACTGACTCGCCACAACTTCCGTGCAAGGGTCCTCGTTATGGTTTACGGGCTCTGACCACAAGCTGCGCCAGAATGCGACCGTGTCAGCCTGATTTGGTGCTGGGCCCGTTCCACTTACTATTGGTCGCTCCAATGATTTATAGAACCTCTTCTGATCACTCTGGAAGAGACGATTCTAGTTGAACCGTGTTGATCTCTCGGTATATCGCCTAATCCGCTTTCCCCAAGCAGCGATTCTTTGCTTCAGGTCGTCTATGCGCTCCGTCAGTTTTTGCATTATATCCGGCTGGGACAAACTAACATTTGTCCCAGCAAACGCCATCCTGACGGTGAGCACAATCCTTGGCCTGGTATTGCCTGACCAGAAGCATATCAGTTTGCCGATGAGGGTCCTAGCCTTTGCGATACATTCTTCAATTCTTATTCTCCAGGCTGGGACAGCACTACTTTGTCCAGTAGCGCGTCCAGCCTTGGAAAATTTGGCGCCTATAATACGGCAGACTGCCAGTGCGGCGCCAAAAAGAATTGAGTCCGTCTCGCAAAGGTCCCGGCTCGCTTCCAAATAGGTAACCAGCATTGGGTTCAGAGCCCTCACGACAGCCCGATTCCGCTTGCTTAGGGCTAAGCGGAGAAGTCGCGGTCGATTTTCGAGAGGCGTACTGCGCGTTTCCACAATCGCCTCTTCCAATGTACTCCTCATTTGCTCTAGTTCCAGTTCCTGGGCGACTATTCCATCATCGTCTGAATCAACCACAACTGGCGTGTTCACGGCGGCATCCACATTTGCCGTTTGCTCAGCAAGTTGTGGCGCCGCATCCTCAGCCGCAGCATTTTCACCCGATGAAGGAACAGCCTCACGTCGTAGCCGTTCGAGTTCGGTAACATCAGATGTATTTGAGCGCAAGATATACCGAACTCGGTCTGCCAGGTTTTGCTCAGTGACGGTTACAGATGGCTCCAGCTCAGCAAAAATTCGATGCATCCCTGCCCGATACGCAAAACCTCCAGTTTCTCCCCCTTTCGCCCTAAAATACGCCCGAAAAGCGTTGCTGTTCATCTGGGTTGTCCAACGCATGCGGCGTACTCCACCAGAGGCGGGTGCCGATTGCTGGGCCCGCGAAGACCCTGCCGACACCAAGCCAGCTGGTGGGGATGATGGATGCAATCGAGGGGCTGCTGGGTTGTCGTGCAGCACCTCGCGCTCGGCTGGCGGTTCGCATGCTGTCGCGTCCAGCGCCAGCTCCAGACGCGCCCTGGCGACCTCCAGACAGCGGCCCTTTGCGCGTTCTATTTAATTACATCATCCATTTTCAGGGCGTCATTTAGCGGGAGACGCCCAGACCCGGCGCCGTTTCATGGTGAGGCCATGTGCACAAGCGGGCTTTTGCACCTTCAATTTTTGCCGAGGCACGGCACTAACACCACTTGGCAAGGTGCTGACTGACTGCGCTAACGTAGCGGTTTTGTCACATAACCGTTACGTCAGCGGGCGATGGGGTCGTCACTTCCCTACGCCTGCTGACTGACTGCGCTAACGTAGCGGTTTTGTCACATAACCGTTACGTCAGCGGGCGATTGGGTCGTCACTTCCCTACGCCTTATTATTATTATTATTAATAATTATATTAAAAACTTGACTACACCTATCTAATCCTATTATAGTATATACGAGGTACTTTCCTGACAAAACAAATGTTATCTTGTGTAAATATGACCTCAATTGGTTTAGTTGTTTAGGATTTACACGATCATTAACACACACACCGATTATAAATATAAAGATATGCTTCTTCGGGGTACGGTGGCAGTATAAGAAAATCCGTCACCCCATTCCGTCCCATGGTTTTCATAAGAAGTGACTACGGGATATGCCAGAAACACCATATGGTTTCCAACAGATATAAGCTTGTGACGTAACAGTGATATAACCTTCTTGAACGAGTAACAGCGTCAAAGTTGCGAGAGTTCTAGTACAGCTGTGGCGGCGCTGCCGTTGCGCCACAAGCGAAACAGATCGAAACCTAAATCGCGCTATCAAAGTTCCGAGTAAAAACAGTATATAAAGAATAGCTCCGAACTACCACACGCGCTTCCTTTCACCCAAGTAGGGTGGTTTACGGCTTAAACATCTCTCGCTAGATCATTAAGCCAATTCCAAAAGGTGGTGTTTAGTGGGTAAAAGTCTGGGGTTACCTTATTTGCATCGGGGATAAAAAAAACTACCACACAGGGCGTTGGCCGCTCCCCGGGTAGAACACCTTGGCCGGAGGGAGATCTCTCGTTTTCCTTCCACGGTCACACAGCGATCTGCCAAACGTAACGATTAAGGGCAATCCTTCTTACGACTTGTGAGGCCCATATTAAGCAAAGGACTTTTACGAACTGATGAATATGTATGTATGGTTACTCGTATTACGGGTTAATCAAGTGTAGGCAGACCGTTAATAGATGGAGTTACGGCCTAATGTGGTCTATGTTTGGCACTATATTATACACTATTTAAAATAGGACATAATGGTAATTATTGATAATACAAATAAATACATCATCATTCACCTGAGTCACCTGCGTCGATCGACTTTCTGCATGTCTTACCAGGTCGTCACTCCATCTAGTGGGGGGTCGCCCTACGCTACGCCTACTTATACAAGGCTTCCACTCGAAAACCTTTTTTCCCGATCGGTTGTCGGTTCTTCGAGCTATATGGGCAACCCATTGCCACTTCAGCTTACTAATCTCTAATAATAAATAAATATCTAAATGAAACTTTCACTATTGCAACACATCACTAGTAAACTACTTAACATAGGCTTCTCCCAAAAAATTTAAAAAAGTCACGATCCTGGCCAATCGCATCCTTCCACTACTGCTACTCTCATCAAGCTCACTTCCTCAGTGGAGGGCTACGCGCTTGCCGGTAGAAGACTGCCTCTTGCAATTTTTTTTACAATATATCATTATACTTAATATTGATCTGTAAAATGAATGTTTTTTGTTCGTCCTGCACGCTTTCCTATATTATTCATCTTATTACGAAAAAAATTTAGTGAATCGTTGAGGGTGCGACCTCAAATACTTTTATAATATAATATTCCGTATTCTTCTAACAAATAAATAGAAACGAAAATAAAAATAGATAACAACCTACTTACGTTTACCTTTTTACGTGATAAAGCTATGTCACAGATATATTACTGGTATAGGTAGCACGTATGTGTCGGCTCGATTGGGAAAGGAGCACGCTCTCACAGAATACCAGCATCAAATAGCAGCTTAATACTGCTGTATTTCGTTTGGTGAGTGTAGAGAACCGGGGACCGTTTTACTGGAAACGAGGCATACCACAAAAATACATAAAAAGTGTCACATCTAAGCACAGACTCTGATATGGGTGCCATACACGGCTGTGTTCAGGTCTGAAGGATAAACCAGTAAAATTACAGGCTGTGGAAGCATTTCATCTTAGTCTTCAGATACCGCAATTGTAGCCCTCTTTGCTGGTAGTTTGCTGTAGATATCCATGAACTTCATTTTTATAGGATAAGGTGACAAATGAGCACCCAGTCCACCTGATGGTAAGCAGTTGCTGTGGCCCATAGACGTCCACATATATCCTCGATATCGAATCAAAATGCAGATTCGTTGTCAACTACCGGTTTCCGGTTCTCTACACTCACCATACAAAACACAGCTAGTTAAGCTGCTATTTGACGCTGGTATTCTGTGAAAGCGCGGTCCTTCCCCGGTCGAGCCGACCCATTCGGTGCTACAACTATACTACTAATATAACTGCAGTATGGCTCTACCATGTATGAAAACTTAGTAAGCATGCAGAATAGAAGACTGCAGTAAACACTTGCAGGTGAATTGTAAATGAGTTTGTAAAATCAGTGTTATAAAATAAATGAAGAAGAAAGAACACTATAACAAATACTGTGAATACAAATAGTAAGATATTCCCATATAAATTTCCTGGAATAAAATATTAGTAACGTATACGTGCCCGACTTCGACTTCAGTCCTCTCCGGAGAACACGCGCAATGGAATAAAATGCCAATATTTTTGAGAGCTTTATGAAAATTTAAGTGAAGTCACTACTCAAATAAAAACTGAGTGAAAATTCTATGAGTACTTTATTTTAAGATTTTAACTGAAACTTTTGACATATTCGATCATGCTCTGCATATAATATAAAAAATAGGTTGGTAAAAATGTATTTTAATATGCTACACTTCATTTTAATTGTACGTTTGCTGTTTGTGACCTACAATCATTCTTTGTATTAATGCTTCTTCCTGTTAACGTGATGAAATCTTTTACTTTAATTATTCTTATGCCCATTTTAGATTTCACAGAAGATTATGTTTATTCTTATATATATATATATATATATATATATATATATATATTACTTTCCTTGTTTGCGTATAGTATTATTGGACCGTGTAGTGACTGTGGAAGAATATTCATTACCTCATATTGTTTCATAGGCGTCGTAAGTGGCGACAGAAGCAAACTGAAGCAGACCATGGGCAGCAACAGATTATAAAAAATTGCCGTTACCAACCAGCTTCCCGAGCGTGGCAACTATGGCATAATCCCCACTAAGTAATAATTTATGGGGAGGCCAATGTTCAGCAATGGACTTTTGTTAGGTTGTAACTCTTAAATATAATCCACTTAAAAGTTGTTGTTAAAGGTTTTTCAAATGTATTTCATTCCCTAAAACTAATTTTGCTCGGGTAGAGTATTATCCAGTAGGTAAAGCTCGTGAGCGTACACCATTAAAATACGATAAAGGAGCCCGTGTATGTATGTATGACAATTCAATTTGTGCCCCAATAATATCGGCTTACAAATAATGGACAAAGAAATCCGACGGTCGTGAGCAACCTTCATATTATTGTTCAAATTAGGATACTGCGTTGATGGCGACGTATTGTTGTCACTTATTAGTTCCTGACTTCAAATCCAAATGAAAGCCAATATTTATGGAGCTAATCGATCGCTGTAAATTTCATTGTACATGAGCAGCCCAGGTTCAATCACCGCCAATACTAATAACATTGTTAATTGTAATTTTAAGTACTGATTTATCATGTGTTCGGCGGTAAAGGAAAACATTGTGAAGAAACCTCCATGTCCGAGAAATAAGAAAAAAATATTTCGAAGACACGTGAAATTCGCCAACACCTCCTAAAACCTCTCAGAAATCACAAGAGCTCTGTGCCCAGCAGTGGGACGTATACAGGCTACGAGTAACTCACGTGTTTATGACACAGAAAATAAGAAGCACGAGAGTAGAATGAAGGCTGTAGAAAAAATGTGATAAATAACGAGTATGTAGCGGTGACTAAAAAAGAGGGTGAGAAATTAAGTGTCAAGAGAAAAGTGTGTTTTTCAAAAAAATGTAACCAGAATTAAGAAAAAAATGCTTCAGTGCTTAAATACCATGCGATGCACATGGAATTTCGTTCAATCAACATTTACGACATTGATAGTAACATCATCAAAAAGTAAAAATATCAAATAACATGTTTTAAGTACTTAGAATAATATATATTATCAGCAAAATAACGAAATATTATTTTATCTGTAGCTCAATTTGAACACGCTGCGTGGATTCCCATAATAACACCGCCACCCGAGACGTATCAAAGCATAAACTTGGGGTAGTAAATTGCACCTCACCGCACGAATAATAAAAGAAAGGTCCTTTTTTCACATGACCACCGGACATGCGATTTTGTCACGTATGTGTTGGAACAAAATTCTAAGAAATAGTTTAAATAAATTTGACAAAGTGTACGTGAAACTAACCATTTATTCACCATATCCTTTAGTTTGTATTTGTGTAGTGAAGCATGTTCAATGCATGAGCAATGCTTCACTTATTGAATAAAACTATATTTACGGATTTTATTGCGTTTAATTAACTATTTAACTTATTTTTAATTCCCGACGTTTCGGGTGCTTTACAG